CGAATGTAAAGTATCACACACAAGCCCGAGAGGTTTAAGTGGCACTAAAAATCCATTTTTTGAATGTATTTATGTATGATAATTAAATAAAAAAAAAATTGTTCTTAACTCAATTATAATTTTATATTTAACAATCACTACGATAAGCGCAAACGTTCATTTCACGATTCAATGCCCCAAAATTTCAAGGAATACCCCAAAACCCCAATTTCAAGGAATGCCTTAAAACCCCACAAGAATAGAGCAACAGTGAGCACTAGTTTCACACCGGACGTAATTATAAACAAAGATTTTGGTAACAAATACGTAGAAGGAACGTTACGAGTCATTGTCTCTGTAGTTAAAACATCTCGTTATTATCGGGGCCCAACTTAGAGACCCGACAATAGGGTCGCTGTTGTTTCTTGCTCTGCCGTCGGTATGCGGTGCTTTGATTGCCAACACTTTTTTTTACTGTTATTACTAATCTAGGTTACAACATAAGTTATCTACTTGTCATACTTTTTAATAGCATTTCGTTATCCTTTTAAACTCGCTGACACTTGCTTCTTAAATGAATCTCTAGCTTGCATTAATTTCGCTTGTAAGTAGTCGTTCTACCTAGTTATGAGGCGAGGAGTAAAAAAAAAAATATAGAAGGGGCATAGGGGTCGGCATAAAACATAGAAGGTGATTCCTTGTATTATAATAATAATAACTAAATACGATGGATGCTATTATAGTACTTATATATGAGCAGTAAGGTTCAATTAGGCTTGAATGTATTACCTTCGTACTCACACATATTATCTTGGCGTACGACCGAGTGAGTTGGCGATGGCCCAAAGTGTAGAACGAATGTTCACTCGTCTCTACTTAGCTGTTTTAAATCGTTATTTTCTTTTACGAATTTCCGTTATCCCTAAATTTGTTTGTCTATCACTCAAAGTGAATTTGTTATCTGTTGCTAAAACCGGAATGCCGCAACACACATTCAGATAGGAATCAACAGGATTCGTAATTTTTATTACTGCTGAATATAATGTTGAACTGCAAATATGCAGGTAGGTAGGTGATATAGTGTAATAGTAATATTTGTAACGATTTAATATTGTTTCCATTATCTGTGCCTATATACATATTATAGTGATAACGATAATGTTACTAACGATAACGATAATGGTTTCATCATCGGTTCATTATTAATAATCGTTAGTACGGATAGCAGCTTACCTGCCTATTAAGTTACAGAGATTACTTAGGTATTGTTTAAAACAAATACATATTGTAACTATATATATAATACATAATATAGTTACAATATATATTATAAATATAAGATATGTCAGGAAAATAAGTAACTATGTAGTTTAAAAGTAAATAACATCGTTATTTTTACAAGTTAACAGTAAAATCGGTAAGGTATAGTAGAGAGTTAAGTCAGGTAGTGGCTAAAATTAGTGTTATTAAACGCTGTGATAGAACCATACAAAAAACAGAACTGATAAATATTTTTGAGTATGTAGTATGTGAAAGGAGAGAGAAAAAGAAAATGTGTGCACGCACGCTAGTGTGTATGTGTGTATCTCTCTGTGTGTGTTTGCGTGTGCGTGTGTGCGTGCGTATGTGCGTGTGTACGTGCGCGTGCGCGCGCGCGCTTGTGTGTGTGTGTGTGTGTGCGTGTTCGTGCGTGCGTGTATGTGGTATTGTGTGTGTGCGTATGCATTTAAGGGAAATTGTGTACTTTACTAATAGGTAATTATGAAACCGGTCGGAACCACCTCGATTGCGCTTTATTGCGCATGCCCAAAACAAACACATACACACAAGCATGCATGCATAATCATGAATGGAGCGAAATATGAAACAATAACATGTATTATTATATTATACACACTTTACACAGGCTGTATTTGTAGGATTTGGCTTGAAAACTTTAGTTTTCAGATTTTTTGGTAAAAAAATTTTGATCGTTTCCATGCAATTGTAAACGTTAATCATTTTGTTTTGTTATAATAAAAATAACTAAAGGTTCTTTTTTAAAGACCGAGATATCGAACTTTGAATGCAATTATTCATAATAACATAAAATTTAGATTTATAGTTAGTGAAGAAAAAATGTTTTTCCACCTCTAACATGAATTGAAAAAAGTGGAAAAAAGGTGGGTATCTTCGCTAATATACATAGGTTTAACTGATCGGTTCAACACCAATTGATTGAAATTTTGGAAAAAATGTCCCTTAAACTCACCCTAATCCATTCAAAAATCAATAATTTCATTTGCAATTTTTTGTTTTTTAAAAATTCATTATAAAAAAAAAATCGAAAAAAATCAAGAAAATTTTTAAGAAAAATTTTTTTTTGAAAAGTCGAAAAATGTTTACAAAAAATTTTTTTTTCGTTTTTAAGGAAATCAAAGTTTTTGCAAAAAAAATGTTACTTTTTAAAGATAATAGTCACTTTAAATAATTAAATTATTTGCAGAGCCAAATATAATTTACTGTAACTCTATGAAGTGTGTGTGTGTGTGTTTCTCCACGTGGTGAACCGAACGGTAAATCGAAAAGTCATCATCAAGGGAAAAATTTTTTTTCTTCTAATTGGAAATTTACTAAAGTGTGTTCATGATAAATATTGGTGTTCATATAAGTTATAAATATAAAAAAATACGTTTATAACATCTATAATACAATAAACAAAATGTACTTGACCTTGCCTACAAGAACACCTATTTATTTATTTTATAAAAACATTTATAGGAATTTCCAGAATGAAGATAATTATTATGTAATATGAGGAGCAAAGATTCATATTGCATAGACCTACCAGTTATCCATAATAACTAGATTTATAAGTACAACATGTCGTTAGCAAAAAGAATAAAAATAATAACTAAATAATGAAATTATTTAGTGCCAAATATAATTTACTGTGACACTATGAAAACATTTATTTTCATAATAGATATTGGTGTTCAGATAAATTATAAATATAAAAAAATACGTTTATAACATCTATAATAATCTATAATACAATAAACAAAATGTATTTGACCCCGCTTACAAGAACACCCATTTATTTATTTTATATAAATATTTATAGGAATGTCCAGAATGAAGATAATTATTATGCAATATGAGGAGCAAAGATTCATATTGCATAATAATTGTCGTTACATAGAAACTAATATGTAATTAGAGATTGTAATAATTTAACAACAATATTTATGATTGAGATCGAAAGAACATCAGAAATTTATAAAACTATATTTTTAATTTTAATTGAACTGTACTTATTTAAAAAAAATCTTCAGTCTCCAGTGATTTAAAAATAGCCAAAATCGGTATTACAAAAATAACGTTTACGTTATGCTCGAATGTAGATTATATTAGTTACCTACTTCTACCTACATTTCTGTAGATAGTACATATATTTTAATATTATAATATTATTGTAATTAAGTGTCTGTATATGGAGGATATTTGAGAAAAATTTCTACGAGGGATCTTAATAAGAGCAATTGAAGCCAAAACAATATTTTTTAGAAATTTTGCATGTTTGTATGTTTGTTTCGGCATCACGCAAAAACAACTGCTCAAAATTGAATATGTTTTAACGGATATGTTCCTGAAGGTTTACTATATCTAGGTTTATTTTAAAGTTACTTAATGTATGTATATGTTTTATCTTGATACGCTACTTTATTGGTTTTCCCGTTTCTGAAATATTCACTCACGAAATAATGAACAAAAGCCAGTTGAATATATATTTGAGTGTAACGGAAACGTTAGGTTTCCGTTGTAACTAGTTATCAATCAAGTGATTTAATCATGATTTAAATTATGAAAATCATCCTATGATTTTAAGTATAGAAATAGGTAAATTTCATTTATCAAAATAACTAGTTTTAAATTCAATTAGTTATATTTGAGGAAGCGAACAAAATTTTTACATACAAGTGGTACAGAATAAGTAAGGTACCTAAAAAGTGTTAAAAAATAGATATTAAAGTGAAGTATACCACAAGTGAAGACAGTCTTCCATAAAGAATCTCCCCTCCATCAGAGACAGACAGACAAAAATTTTACTGATTGTATTTTTGACATCAGTATCGATCACTGGTCACCCCTGATAGTTATTTTGGAGATATATTTCATGTACAGAATTGGCCTCTCTACAGATTTATTATAAGTATAGAAGATAAAAGATATATCATTCCGTGAACATATATTGGAAATAAAAAAATTACATGTAAGGCATCAGGTTCTCAAACCCAAAAAAGGACTATGGATTCCCTTAAGGCACTGTTTAATGTTTGGCACTTTATTTAGGTAGGCAGTTATAGTGAAGTGTGAAGTCTAGGCAGTTAGCTAGTTTTAAAAATTTTTATTTACGTACATTTAATATCTATGCTAATAGTAGCCTCATTATTTTATCTTTTTGATCTAGGTACCTATTCACCTAACTCTATATCGTTAATTTTTATTATTACATGAATACTTAATTTAAGCTTACAGTATATTTCATATCCATCTATATATTATAAGAATAATGTAGTAATACAGCACTGTCCGTTCCGGCTTCATAAATATTTATGCATCCTAATTTTCTAGCTAAGTAATATAACACAGCAAAGTAAAACCGATAACACGCTGAGCGAGCGCTCGGTTTGGTTCGCCCGAGCGATACAATCATATCCGCCAACGCATTATTATTATTACCTAAATCCAAAGTCTCACAAGTCATAGCGCTCTGCCTGCCACTCGAGCCGAGCAAGCGAGGTCATTACGTCGGCACTAAAAGCGAGCGACCCGTTCCGATAATAAATGCTTCTCCTATTCTATATTGCTGTGTAGTCTGAGTTATGTAAATAGCACAAGTCATAGAAAGCGCAGAGTGAGACAGACATATATAATGAAGACGTATTGGAAGGAGACAGACAACACTAGCGTCAGTCTGCCGCTTGGTATTTGCCAGCCAGCCAATACTGGCACTTCTCAGCACTGGCACTGGGCTCTGGCACTGCGTCTATGCCTGTGAGTGAACGGAACAGAATTTCGTTCCATCGCGTCATTGCGTACTCATCTGCCTGCTTATGTGACTGTGCGAGTCTGTGTGGTTTCGATCGAAACGCACGGTGTACAAGTAGATTCGGTCGCGGCCGGTGACTTGATTACCTTGACTCATTATTACTATTATTACAATTGTAATTTCCATCTGATTACAATCATAATATATATTGTAAAACTCTACGCCTGATTTAATTATTAAATGATATAACATGAGCGCGACGCTCAGTATTCTTGATATCGACATTTTGACATGAGTTGAGCAGTTTATTTGGCCGGCCATTTTGATTTTCATGTTGAAAGAAGTGGTTAGTGGTGACAGAAGTTCGCGGAAAATAAGTTATTTGCATTTTCCGTACATACTGGTTATTGTTTTCCTGTAAGTGTGTGGATAGTGGTTGATGGATAAAAATTTTTGTTGTTTTTGTTTGGATTAACCTAAATTTGACTGTGAGTTTTGCCGTGAACAATAACATTTTGAATGCAACAATTTGAGGTTTTTTATGTGGTGAAAATAATGCTTTGGACTTTACTTCTTTTGTATTATAATTGAATGGATAATAAATGAATGTGAGTATTTAACTTTCTATTGGCTTTAAGCATGTTCTTGCCGTTTTTAAGTAGTTTGTTGTTATTGTTGTTGAGTTATATTACATACAATATAACATTTAACAATAAGTAAGCGTAATAAAAAAATTACTTATTTGCCGCTTTCTGGCGTAACTAGATAATAAACATACTTAATTAGGTTTTCGCAAAATATATTTAAAATATTTCTCATGAAGTTAGTATTGAGTTATTAAATGTTAATATATAATATGTTAGTAAGTACCTAAATACTTTTTTTTTATTTAGATTGTATATTGACAGCCTATCTGTATGTAGTGTATTGCATATAGGCTATACAGAACAATGTCCTAAATATATTTGTATGATATGTTCTATTTATTATTAGATTAGGATATGGTAAGTTAACTAGTATGACTTGACCAAATAACAGCTACACTTCCATGCTTAGTTTTTTTTTTTGCATTTTTATTTATTTTGCAGTAATATTAGAAATAATGATCTATAACTGTGAATGAGTTTACAAATCACAAATTATATTTTAATTGCTATTAAGAATAATTAATACACAGTAAGTACAGTATCATTGTAATAAATGCATAAGATGAGAAGTATTTATTTTATACATACTGAATCAATATTTAAAACTTATGCCATAATAGAAGTTATATCAATAGTTACAGACCAAGCAAGATACCTAATGGTAAAATTTATTTAACTTGTTCACAGGTATTAAATCATGGCAACTAAACTAGAACCTGATTATCCCACATCGCCAACAAACGATGAATCAGGTTTGTTTCTTATTATTTTCCTATCAAAATATTAAAAATAATTCATGCATGAATTTATATTTTGCTATATTATATTCTAACCTGACAGACATCTAATTAATTTATGAATAAAAGTAGCATCACGTGTCTGTAAATTAATTGAATGTGTCAATTTATTACTAATTTAATTTAGTTTATTTCTGCAATAATTTCAACAAAACTGAGGTATTTTTGTTTTTATTAAGTTCCATTGAGGTTTAATTAGGTATAGCCTGTATACTTAATTCATGCATGGATGTAAAAATAAATTTTCTTGACTATTATTTTCCAATTAATATCTAATTAATTTATCAAGTTTGTTTATTACTATTTTCCAACCAGTAGTACAACAATTCATTTATGAATCACATTTGTTTATAATTTATATATACTTTATTCATGCATGAAAGTAATTAGTTTTTATCTATATATGCATGTTCATAGAACTTGTGTCATAAGTGTGTGTCAGTAAAATTACTGTTTTGATTGTAAAAAATTAAGCTAATTGTATTGTTTGCACACAAAAATATAATTATGTAACAAATAATGTTATGAATTATCAAATACGTAATAAAAAATTTTGTTCCATAAAAGAAAGTAGTAAAATAATATGTCCATCAACACATGTGCAAATAAACTTTATCAATTATGAATGGAATTATCATAATTGATATTTGTATTATATTTACAATATTTCCATTACTATTAATGGAAATTTTGTGTAACACGTACATTGAGAAGACATACAGATTTTAGTTTTTCTTATTTTACAATTAATTTATTTATTGCATTCATGGAATATGGTGATCTTTAGCAATGTCCAGTTCTTTATATGACACCCTGTTGGTTGTAGCAATTTTTCCAATTGGTTATTAATATATATTTGATATACTCTGTTTTACAACAATTAGTTTTATTATTACATAAATAAATATAAATATTGATAAATATAAACTTACATAAGTATAAGTTGCTACAATATAATATTATCTAAAATATAAAGTTTCTTAAAAAAATTGTTTTATATGAATTTTATGGCATAGCTGTAAATTTAGTCCATTTGAATCAGTATATTAAGTAATTTATGTTTAACATATACCTGAAGTGTTATCTAAATACTGAAGATGTTTCAGAAATGTATGAACCTTGGGTTCAGTTAATATACAATGTATGAGTGTAAAGAAGGAAAATCCTGTACATATTTAATTAAACTACATCATTTCTTAAAATTTTGCTTTATTTTTTGGCAAAAAATTTTAAATTCAATATCAGCAATAAAAGGTTAAGTCGACAAGAATGTCATTTTTATTGATATTGACATTAGCTGTAGAAATAACCAAACATCATAACATTTCCTGGTTGTCTTGTTTTCTTTAAGGAATTTATATTTGTGACTTATGAAATTAAATTGAACATCTTAATAACATTTTTGTATTGTAAATTCTTATATTACAGTTTATGTAGTAGTTTTACATGATTAGTAGGAAACTTGAAATATTTATTTACATAATATATATTTATTTACTATTGATATGTAATCTATTGGTGTGTGGTAGGTTTGCATATGAAAGTGTGATAGTGATGGGTAACTAGCAAAAATTTTAATAACTTAACTATTCGGCTATTTATGGTGTAATAGCAAGCTAAATAGCCAGCTATTTGGCTATTTAGCTATTGTATGAAATACTCATTATAATCGAGCCAGTAGTGTTAACCTTAGCGTTACCTATTTAGTTGATTAACTGTCCACCTATGTTACGTCGCGTACAATCCCCGACACAGTAATATATAAGAGATATGATGCTATTTTTTTTTTATTTCATTATTCAATGAGTTACTTTGTAGACATTATTATGTTAAGTAGCAGTAAAACAATTTCTTAATTTTGTCCATTTTGTCCATGCCACCTATAGCATGATTTAAGAACTTTTGTTGTATCAGCCATAATCAAATTGATCAACTGTTTATTTATTATAATGCATTCATGTACTTAATATAGAGTTGTTACAATGTTCTTATAAGTAGTAATAGTAAGCATATGAACCCTGTTTAAGTTTATTGATGTCGTCTACATTTGTTGACAAAATAAATTTTGATAATCTCCATCGATGGCATTGCTGTTGACGAAACTAAATAAATAAAAAATAAATTTTTTATCAATAAATATATTTACCTAATATAATAATGACTACAAAGTTTTTTGAAAGAAAAATTAAATAAATAAAAAAATATCGGCTAGCGTTCGCTATCGATTCGGACGTTTACCGACAGCTACGCGAGATAGCGATAGCTATTTCGCTATCGATAGGCAATAGCCGCGATAGCTGCCTTAACTGCCATAGGCGGCCGCCGAACGTACTTGTCAGTTGGCGGTTAGTCGTGGCTGTGTTATAATGTGTCATCCGCTCGAAGCTATACAACCAATAGCTAGCTACATGGACAACAGATAACTTAGCCACGGCTATTCTTTGCCGTTATATAGCTGGGTATCTGTATAGCTACCCATCGCTAAAGTGTGAATGCTTGAGTATGTTGTGTATACGTATATCATCATGCATCATCATCATCATCATGATGCATATATAAATACATGTGTATACACAACATACTCATATATGTAAAGTATCTATACATATGTAGTTTGTTATCGTGTATACAGAAATGAATATATGTGAATATCTTGTGAAGTTCAGTGATTATTATCAAGGATCGATATCGACATGGGAATTAGGATGAATAACTTATGCGTGTTGAGGTATAAAAACATTTTTGAAATTATTTATAATTTACCATCCATAATTCATTAACTATGACTACATTTTTCACATCACATATAGTACATTACTACAGCGGCCAGCAACTGAGGTATTGATGGACGAACGTGCAAATGTGGGTCGAGAAGGAGCCGAGGCACTCATACGTGAGTCCATCAATGCCTAGTTGTGGCCAAGGCTTGTATAGTACTTTTCTCAAATAATACGCGGAAATCAAAAACACAATTTTACTTTTTAATTTCAATCAACGAATAACGAACAATAATAATTTTTCACGCGCCATAATGCTCCTTTGTTTTTTTTTTTTTCAATAAATAGCTTTCTATTAGCCAGGCAGTTCGAAATTTAAATAAAATATTTTATTAGTTATCTCTTTGGTTTTTCGAAGTAAAAGGTCATTCCATTTTTAAATTACAGGATAGATATGAGTTTACGTAGCAATTTATCTGGACGCAAAACATGACGGATATGGATTTTCATACAACTTTTGCCGGCCGCTGCCCGCATGTATCTGGCCAGTACGGCAATTTTAATTAATCTCGAAGAAGATTGTCAAAATAATGCTCACATTTCCATGCATGTTTGAGAAAATTATTATTACTTAGTACAAATATATTTTTTATTATTTTCAAGATGTTAAGGACATTTTTTTAATTGAGAAAACAGAAATAAGCAGATGTTTTTCTTATTTTATTTTTTGTTAAAAACTTTTAAATATATTTGCTTTATTATATGACTGTTACATTGGCAAGTATGCGAATGAGTCTACTGGGAACGAATTATCCAATTATCCGGAGCTAGGAAACTAGATACTTTAAACCGCGGGATATCGTAAAGGTAATATATAGGATCTATAAAATGATAGTATAGTAGTAGGGGAAAGCACAAAAGTTCCCAACGGGTTGACGTGCAGCGGTTTAGTTGACCCCATACGCGAATAAAAGATAAGATCATATAGCATCTTTTTAAATACTTGAAGATATATATATATATATATATATATACATATATATATATATATATATATATATATATATATATATATATATATATATATATATATATATATATATATATATATATATATATATATACTAGCGGCCCGTCCCGGCTTCGCACGTACCCTTATTACCTATATATATATACCTACCTACCCTTATTCCGCACCGCAATAAGTACGAATAACATGTACAACGCGAAAGGGAATTATTAAATTTGTAATATCTATTGAATGGAATAACCGATTTGAACAATATGCTTAAAAATATAAACACAAAGCAATAATTATTGCTGACAATTTGCTTTAATCGAAGCAAGTCCAAAATGAAATGACCGCATGAATGACATAACAACATGCTTGTACTGTCAATATTGAAAAAAGTTTCAATTTGACAGCACAATCCCCATCTTAAAAAAAAAATAATTTGATAGTAATCCCCATTAACGAAATGATCCGCCATTTATTAATTTGTTACAAAAATGTGATAAATGAAGAACCGTTCAACCGATTTTGTGCAAACTTCACATAAACCATCTATTAAATAGTCCGAATAAAGCCTAAACATTTGGTTTGGATAGGTGATCCCGTCCTTGAGTTAAAAAATTCCAACGAAAAGTGGCATTAATTTTTATATATATAGGTAAATTTATTACTATATATTTTCCCTTACAATGTAAAGGATAAAAAATGGTTATTGTGGGTTATCCTTGAGAGATAGACATATACCATAGCGGACTTTTTTGTTGACCTTTTTAAGGTGTACAATACTGTAGTACATTATTTTGATTTATCTCGTAGGGTTCAGCCAGCGTTTGAAACGCAAAAAGCGTTTATTTACGACATCATATTAGAAAGCTTTGAATTTATAAGCGTTTCTCTACAATATTGTGCATGTATTTTACATGTAAACCTTCCTCTTGATACATTCTATTAAAAAAAAAAACCCGCTTCAAAATCCATTGCGTAGTTTAAAGATTTAAGCATACATAGGGACTGACAGGCAGCGACAGCGACTTTGTTTTATACTATATAGTATTTTATGATGATGATAAAACTGAAAAATTAAGACAATTGTTGTTAGCATTGGTACACTGGTAACAACTGACTCTGTTCTGTTTTTGCAAAGGCTGTGGTCGTGATTATTTCCTCACGATGTACCTACTTACTCTCTTTCTTCGTCCTCTTCATTACTGAAGGTCGTGTCCTTG